ATCTCTGATCTATGGGAATCTTCATGGCGCATGGCTCGACCCTTGGGCCATTTCCTTTTTCTTTCTTTCTTTTTTGTCCTTCTCTCGATCTTTTTTCTTTTTTTTTTTTTGTTTGTGCTTGTTTTGTTATTTGAACTTTGCGCCAACTCGCATTATTATAACAGCCATATAATTATGTATTTTAGCTTGGCCAGCAGCGCAATGCAATGGTCGAGAGAGCGAGGAGATTGAGAGAAGGAAGGTGGGGCAGGGCCTCATTTCTAAAGTCACGCTAGGGGTCAGGAGTGTCGTCGTCTTTTTAGCAAAATGCTTATTATATTTTCTGTAGTTTTTAAGTGTAACACCCACACACATAATATGTATATATATATATATATATATGTACCTCCCCAGATACCCACCAAGCTGGTACGTGCTCCGTGCAATGGAATTTTTGCGCTTTGCTGGCTTTGGACGCAAACGAAACTTTAACTGCAATGCTTGTTGAGTGCTGGGCATACAGGATACCAGGAATAAGGCAGAAGGGGCTACGGATGGAAGGCTGCGGGCCGCGAGCTACGGGCTACGGGCTACGGGCTATGGGCTACCTTAAGCCGGAGTGCGAGTTTAAGGGCATACGGAAATGGTTGCGTAGACTGCCTGGCGCTTAATGCCGCTTGTGTATATGGCTTGGCTATTAAATTTCCAGTTCAATGATTAACGAAATTTATGGTTCGGCTTATACCTACATATATGTGTATGTGTGTGCTTGAATGTGTGCGTGAGTGCGTGCCGCTGTCAAGGTGCGGTTGCGTCTACGCCTGCGATAGCGACTGCGACTGCGACTGCGACGCAACGCAACGCTAACGATGCCATCTTGTCCGACGCGAATGAAGCTGTGGAGCAACTGGAACCACATGCCTCCAGCCACATGCCATGTCTGCCACTCCAAGTCCGACTCCAGCTCCAACTCCAACTCCAACTCCATAACCAGCGCCAGCGTCGGCAGCAGGCTGCGAGCCTGTCGCAAGACGTGTCGAGGCTCATTAAATATGTATGTCTTGTGCCGAGCAGCAGCTGGCTTGGGTTTTTACTGTGGGTTGGGTTTGACTGGGCTAAGCTGGTGTGGGTCTGGGTCTGCGCTGGGTTCGACGGCTTGTGGCATTCAATTAAGGCGCATTTTGTTGCTCTCCTAATCTGTTTGAAATATTGACCAAGCGCAAAATGGTGTCAGGCAGGCGCCGAAAAGCGTGCAGCAGCAACTAAAGGCTAAAACGCTAAAGCCGAAGCCAGGCCAACATGTTCAGGCATGCAAAATAATGAAGTTGAAGCGCAATTAATTTGAAGTTGACGCACCCAAGCCTAACCAGGCACAGCACCAGACGAAGCCAAGTCAACAACAACGTAAGCGCAAACGTAAACGTAAGCGTTAACGTTAACGTTCACGTCAACGTCAATGTCGACCTGCTGCCAGGCACAAGCAGCTCAATCTCGGCCCCAAGCTGCTCTCTAGGCCGCACACACACACACACACACACACACGCAGCCGCCCTCGCTCTTTGCTTTTTTTAGCTGACCAACTGTGCTGGCCCATTCACAGGGCCATGATGTGCCTTTGGCCAGTCGACTGACTTACTTTACTTTGCTCAAATGGCTAAAAGAATTTTCTTGCCAGTCTTTTTTCCATCATCTACTTCTACTTTTACTGCCACCTTTTGTTGTTTTTGCTGCTGCATTGTGTGCAAAAAAAAAAGAAAAAAACCTAAGCAAAACGGAGCCAGAGACTTTATATTGAGCTGAAACCAGCTCGGGCACACTTTGTCTATATGTAACTGCCACACACACACACACATGTTTTTATATATATATATATATATATATATATATATATATATATTTATATTTGTGTGTGTGTTTGGCCATATAAAAAGCCGTTTTTCTATGTCAGTTGCATTTTTGTGCTACGCCTCGGCTACATTTGTGTGTGTGTGTGTGTGCTTGAGAGGGGCTGCCATTTGGTTGGGGTCTGTCCCTGTTTCTTCATGCCCTGCACCCGTTGCTGCTGCTCCTTAACCCACAGCCCGCTGCTGGCAATGTCGCCGCTTGCTGCTGGCTTGCAGTAGCCGCAACGCGATGGGAAAAGCTTTTTTCAATTGTTTCCGTTTCGAGGTCATGACAAATGCATTCATTTCTCTTTATTTTCTGGTTTTTGTGTCTCGCTTCCCCTCTCATTCTCTCTATCTCCTTGTCCCTCTCTCTCTCTCTCTCACTTGTATGTGTATTTTGAAGCAAACAAGAAACTGGCGGCAATGAACTGTTGCCCCCGTGCCACCCATACACAATCTACCATCAGCGAGCAACAACAGCAACTGCCATTTCAACCCATCGGCCAACAACTTGCCGCACCACCCACCTCCAGCCACACATTGTAAGCTGTATGTCATTTTTGCGTTTAATGTCGAGAGCTCAACGAAAATTGCTTACCTTTGGTTGGGCGAGACGATAACAACGCCCAGCGCAAACAACAACAAGCCCAAAAACCAACAACAACAATATGTAATAAAAACAATAAGCAAGCTGACAAAAAAACCAAAAAAAGCCAACAAACAAAAGTTAGAGTATGCAGCTATGATACCAAAAATACCCAGCAAAAAAGAGAATTTGAAACCCGTCAACGATTCATAAAATTTTAAACGTTTACCTGAAACATGCAGAAGTTTTCAATGCACAAAATGCCTCGTGAAATACTTTCCAATAATCCAACAAATTATTTTTATTATTTATTTTCTCTATTTAAATGCTGATTTAATTTCATAAAATACACAATACAAATTCTCTCTGAACAAAATCATTTTTATTTTTTTTTTTTTAATTTTAAAAAATTTATTGTAAGGAATTTTTGTTAAAACAAATAACGTACGCGTCTAGTCGATGTTTACCTGTCTGCTCCTTAATTACAGAGTGTACAACAATAGCAAAAGGCACACGGCAGCTAGTCGCCACACAGATACTCCGTTTAATCTGATAATTATCAACTATTCATCCAAAGAGCGGTTGCGCCTCAGGTTTCAGAGCAAGCAGCTTTAAGTTTCAAAGCAAGCAGCTGCAACTTAAGACAGACAAAAGCTGCACGCTTCGTTCGCTTTCCCAAGAAGCAAAAAAATGTGAGAATGTCGTGGCTGAACGAACTGCATTACTTAGTTAACATGGCCGCTTGCCAGGTTGTTCATGGACCCCTGTAACAAAATCAGGCGACGGCTGCCGGCAACGGCGACAGCGATGCCAGCGATGACGGTGACTATTGCAAAGTGCTTTGACTTTGGGTCTGGCTGCTGCTGCTGCTGCTGCTGCTGGTTTCTGGCTGTTGGCAGTCGTAAAAAATGTAGTTTATATTCAAAATAAATGAGGTTGACTTTATTTACGCGCTTATGCTTTTTATGCGCTTTGCAACAAATACTCGTAACAACGACAGCAAAAATCATCAACGTTGCTGTCGCTGCTGTCGGCTGCAACCAGGCGGACGTACAAATCAGCAAATGCCTTCGGTGCGGGCTGAGAGAGGGGGTGCTTTGCTATTGAGCAGAACTTCGTAGGTGCTGCTGGCATGGTTTTTTTTATTTTTTTGATAAACGTAGCGTAAGTGATTTACCAACATTATTGTTGTGGTTGTAGCTGCTGCGAACGCAAATCAGAGCGCTGATAATTATTTCTGTGTGATTCAATGCAGGCAGGCAGGCGGACAGGCAGGGCGGGTGCTGTAGAAGTAGCTACAAAGCTCCCACTGTCATGCCACGACCATCACAGTCATAGCCAACAGAGAATAGTCAAATAATAATTGTACAGTCGAAATCCTACTGCTGCTGCTGTTGTTGGCACAACAGATGAAACCAAAACTTTCGCTGTTTGGTTTTTGAATATTTTTCCGAAAATTAATAGCGGACTAGAATGTGTAACGGTCTGTCATTGTCCGGATTTGTAGCAGGCGGTTCGGGACAAAGCGACGTGGGACGGCGCTGGCAATTGTTTTTAGTAAAGCGCACAAAAATGGGCACGGGTAGCCGGGCACTTTATTGTTGTTAGGCACTCTGTCAGCAGCGGCCGGACGCATTTGTTTCTGATTAAACCGAGCATCGGGGCTCTGTTTAGTTTTTGCGGTGTGGCAGGCGGTTATTGTCGCCAAAACGTATCAATGGCGCGTTGTTTCCCATGAGTTATTGTAACTGTCGCAATGGCAGTAAACAGTTGCTCTTGTTGCTGCCGTCGCTGCTGCTGCTGCAACTGCTGCCACCGCCGTCGCCGCTGCGGTTCGAGGCGACTGAAAGGATTGCGGCGCTTATTCCTCCGCAATACAATTAGCAATGGTTGTTGTGCTGGAGGTGGGGGCAATGCCATGGTCATGTGCTGGGCGTGGTGTTGTGGCTTTAACTTTATTGAATTGTGACTGGGGGTTGAGCTTTAGCATGCGCCTGTCTCTGATGGTGATGGATGGTTAAGTGGATAAGTGGACAAACTGGTGGCGTTTGTTCGGGAAGAATCCAATCAATCATTCTGCTTGGTCAATGGCGTGTATATGTATACAATACTATAATCCTAATCAAAGCTAAAATTTAAATTTGCGGCAAAGAATCAAACCAATTGACGAAGAACTCTTATCAATTGATTATGGGTGTTGAGCACTTGACATGAATCAGTCAGCTGCACAGATATTAATCATCTTAATCAAGTCCAGGTCACGCTTAGATCATTGCATCAATCATCTTCAATCAGGATTATGCTAGTAATTATAATTGAAAATCAGATGAATTAGAGGCCGTAAATTAAGAAACAGTAGATTGTCCATTTAGTGAACGTACTAAACAACTATTTCAAAATTAAAAAATTTTATAATTTCACAAATGTGGTACGATCATAAGATCTTTGAACAAATAACACGAGAGTTAAATTCAACGAATTCACGTTATTTGAATGCTTAAGCACTTGTCATAAGGATTCAAATATACAAAATGAAAATCTCTTTGCTTTAGTTTTCAAATAAACATACTTAAGCTGACCAAGTATTAAATGAAATAGAGATTTTGATTAGACTTATAAATAAATCAGTTTTTTGTTGCTTTCAATTTATCGAAAGCATCCATAGTGTCATAAGAGGTGGAATCAACGCAGGACACTTTAGTCTTTTGATAGCCCAATCGATTGGTTTTCACCTATAAGCGCATGTAAAATAAATTTATAGTCACAAAGTTGTATATTATTTATGCAATGGAAACCTACCATCTTAGGGCATGGCCGTTCCCAATCAGAGTCTTTATCGTTATCATCGGTATCAGTGTTGAAATCTGATTTGTAATGTGGAACGAAAGATCGCTTGGCTTGCCTGCGACGTCTTTGGGGTACCGAAGTATTTGATGCAGATATTTCCGCTGCTACGTTTTCCATACTTTCGACTGCAGAATCCTCTATGGGTGCAGCTTGATGGATAACTGGTGCGCTCGTCGCCGAAATTGATTTAGTATTCGGTTGTTCGTCTTGCTGGCTAGAAATTATTCTAGCAATCTTTACTGGAAGGGCAGAGAGATTCTTAATTTGATTCACTTTGAATGTAAGCTCCGCTATAGTAATCTGTATGGAAAGAACTTTAAGTTAAGTAGTCTTGAGTTTTTAAGTCCAATAATAGAACTAACATTCTTTTGACGTTCCATCTCGACAAATTTGGTTTGGTCTTCCTTATGGCGTGCGTCCATTTGCTGTAGCTCGGCCTCTAGTGTTACGATATTTGTCTGCGAATGCTTGAGCATTAATTACATTTTTTGCCCAAGTTTATGCTGTCTTACCTCGTATAACTTCTTTAGCTCCTGCAACTGTTGTGCCAGCTCAGCGTTTTGAGCTGACAAGGTATTCGTAGCATCCTCGTGCTTTTGCTGAAGTTCTTCAAATGTCAACTTCAGCTGAATGGATTCGTTCGTAATCTTAGCCAGCTGACATTTAGCAACATCAGCTGCCTCAGCATTCGCAGCCGTTAACTGATTGTTGGTTTCTGCAAGCATTGCAATATCGGATTGATAACGCTTTGCATCAGAGACCAATTTTACATTCTGGTTTTGTAACTCGTCTATCTTTAGCTTATGCTGATTTATTTCAGCTGACATTCGTTCATCAGCGCCAGACAACTCAATAGACAATTGCTGATTTGCCTTTTGTAGATCAAAGTTGCGTTCCTCAACATTCTTCAGCTTCTTTACGGTTATTTTCAATTCAGCTTCACGCCGCATATTGTTCTCCTTCAGCTCTTGAAGTGTAGCTGCCTGTTCTTGTAGCTCATCTTTTAGCTGTGATTGGATAATTCGTAACGCAAAAGAATGAATTTTTTAGATTTGTGTTCACATGGTCTTTCCAGTACGAACCTCGTTATGATGGACTGTCTCCTGCTTATACTGCTCGATAGTAGAAATCAATTCTTCAATATGCGCTTCCAACTGCGTATTTTGCAATTTCAATTCGGCCAACTCAGTCTCGAGTTGGGCCACCGCTTCCTGTTTCTCCTGCTGCGCAGCCTTAAGCTAAATATGATAGGAATATCCAGTCTATTCTACTTCCTTCTGTCCAATCTATTTGTTATCCGCTTACCTGTTCCCGTTGATTCTCCACTTGCCGCATAGCAGATTTCTGCTTGAGCAAAATGGCATTCATATTTGCGAATTCCTTGTCGTAGGCAATCTCCAACTCAATGTATTTCTTCTTGTCAGACGTGTACTTATCTTTTAGCTCATCCTTTTCCTTAGATATGTCGCTACACGTACTCTTAAGATTCTGCAATTGCTCTTTAACCTCTTGCAATCTGTTAACAAAACACACCAAACATCAACTGATTCCTTACATTGAATATAACATTATAATCGTTTGTCTTACTGTTTCTTCAAGAGTGCATTTTCCTGGTTTTTTTCTGCGACACATATGTTGGTGTTTTGCATCTTCTCGGAAATCTCATTAGATTTCTTCTTAAATGCCTCGAGGGATTGCTTGTGGTGCTTAACATAATATTTTAATACATTTTGGGGACTGGTCGGATCAGATAGTGGCGCTCTTTGAGGAGCATTGGTTTTAATAGCTCTATTCATTTTAATTTTTCCAGACTTCGAAGATGTCTTCAAAAATTTACTCGAATCGTCTTGGGTGTCTACCTTAACCGGTGGCATGTTTATTGAGATATGCGATGAAGATCTATATTTGTAGCTTACTTATTAAAGGCTTTAATATCCGACTACATATGGATAAAATGACGTTTGAGTAATTTACCTGATTTAATAAGAAATCTTTCTCGAAGTCTCCTTTAAAATCAAAATGCGCAATAAGAATGCGTCTACACTCTAAGTCAACGGTAAATTTGGGTAATTGCCAGCACAAAAAAGTATCGATCAGCCGATAGTTTGCAAGTGCTTATTGTGATTGTCAGATTGTATAAATTGTGATGAATATTATGCTCAACAACTTAACTTAACTTATCTCAAATAAAACGTATTTAATATTTGTCTCTCATATATTAAATTAAGAGCACATTGAATACAATTTATGATAAGTTTATGAAATTTGCGATACTCGGTTGCGATCCTTTAAAATTTGTTTCATGTGGCTACGATGCCGCAATAGTCTGGCATCCCTGGTCGTCAAAGAAAGAAAAAAAAAATCAATTTACTTATAAAATAATTAATATTTGTAAATGAAAATGATTTAAAGCTGTCTATCATATCACTCTTTCAAACGATCACCGTATTTAGCTCATAAATGCTTTTTAATTGAAAACAAATTAATCAAACTATGTAAAAGGTTGCAAATCAGAAATAAATCAATCAAAATTATATTTCAATCATCGGCTACCTTAATTTCATGTAACAGGTTTAAACCTGCATTATTAACTTGTTTCGGCTATTAATACGTCTATACATTTAATTAGGCTCCCAATCAATCAATGAATCACAAGGCCATTCAGTCACTGCTAAAGCAATTAAAATTAATCAACAATCAATCAAAATGTCACCGAGCACGAATCAACCCAGACTGCAGCCATTTATATACATACATGTGCTTATATACACACATGCATACATGTATGGCACATATGTATATATATACATATATATATATATATATATATATATATATATATATATATGTATATGTATGTATGTATGCTTGTATATGCAATCTTTGTCAGGCAATCAATTAGTTCCCGCTCAGGACCTGTTCCAAATCATCAGCATCAACATCAACATCAACAATCGGGCGATGTATGTATGTATTTTCAATCAGCTGACCTCGATGTCTGGGCTGCTCTTTGGCCATGGCCATTGCCAACATGTGCTCATATAATCAAAAAACAAAAAGCAAACATATATTCACATACATACACGCATACATACGCATTCAATCTACGCCATTAGCCATATAACCCATAAGCTTATACAGCCCATAACCCGTAACCCCAAAGCTGTAACCCAGTTTCAATTGAACGCGTTTTCACATGCCAGTGCACCAGCCTCCTACATACCTCCTGCCTAACCCACGCTCCGCTGCTCACCATGATCATCATCAATTGGCATGCAATGTGTGACCGCGACCGAGACTAGGCAAATGCTTGCCGAATAGGAGGTTTTATTTTCGGGTGGATTTCCAGGGTAATTGAAACAGAGGGAGGGAGAGAGAGAGCGAGAGCTGTGCTCGGTCTACTTTATGCCTATTTGGCTTATTATTATTTTTTTCTTTTTTTTTGTGGCCGACCAAGCAAAGCAATAATCCAACTAAATTGAAATCAAACCCAGACGCCTGCCCACACACACACACACACACTCATATACGCGCACGCACACACGCACGCTCGCGCTTGTCACGATTTGGGCACTGGGATGACTTTACGAGGCGACTTTAATTGCTGAGGTCAGGAGAAGTAATCAAAAGGCACTGCAAAAAGCACCATCAAATCGAGCTGAAAACGCGCGCATCAAGCGTCACTCTCCAAAAACGACATCAATTCAATCGCTGAGAGGGAGGGGTGGATTAAGCTGAGTGTTAAGTGCGCCGCCATTGCGTTAACAAATCTTCACTACTCTCGCTTTAACTCTCCCCTCATACGCTCTATTCTCTTTGTGTGCGTGAGTGCGTGCGTGTGTGTTTCTGTGTGAGCTGCACTTTGTAAAAGTGTTTTGCCCATTTACGAGCCAGCGAGCTCGCCGAGCGTCGGCGCTGATTTTTATGCCATGTTTGGTGTTGACTGTGAAGCAAACGCCTGCTAGCCACCAGACGCCACCTAGCGGCAACAGCGTCAGTGGCAGTCCCTTCGCTGCCCCGCCATCTACTTTGCCTTTGTCAATCAGTGCGAGCGTTCGTCTGTGTGTGTGTGTGTGTGTGCACAGTCACTTTCATATGTTAGTGGGCGTGGCCATGGCATGAGCACACTTGCTACAAGTCTTGTTTGCCGTTAGCTACTGCCGCTGCCTGCTGCAACAGTGTTGCCAGCTATGCACACGTAGCAGCAGCCGCAGTCGACACTGGCGCCACCTACACGGCCCCCACCCACAACAAGATATATGTTGACAGCTTGTGAAAATATGAGCAACGTTTTGCTGCTACCAGCCAAATGTGTTGAAAAATTGAAAAATATTTCGCCATCGATGCACTAAAATATGGTCCAGGCGAAAGGCAAACGCCAAATCGCAGGCGAAATGCAGAACAACAACAAAAACCCAAATAAAACCTAACACAGCAGAAAGAAGAAGCACAACGTGTTGGGTTTTGTGTGCCAAAAAAGGAACGGGCAAGAATGTATTTGGCGGCGCGCCAGACTTTAAAAAGAACAAGAACAAAAAAAACAGAAAAAAGCAGTGGCAACACGAGCCACGCCTATAGCCAGCTATCGTCGTGATCGAGTCCGCTGAATGTTTTCTGGCTGCGTTTACTCTTTTGTTGTTTAAAAGTTTTTTTTCTTCACTTTTTCTTTTTATTTTCTGTTTCTTCCTCCCCTTTTTTTGGCTGGGGGCTTTTATTTTGATTAACTGACAAGCGGCTGGCAATTGGCACAATTGAAGGCAACTCCTTGGTCCTAAGTCCTTGTTGCAGGCATTGTTGATTTAGGATAACGCCAGCCAGCTGCCAAAAGGTTAACGTTAACGAATTTATATTAAGGCCGCCAACAAAACGCCCAAAATAAAAAGACGAAATATGCCAAAAGGAGAAGGGCTATTGTGCGGCAGCAGAGGGGTCGAAAGATGAGCAGCTCAAAAATTTGCTTGCTCGCCATTTACCGGTCGCGGCAACAAAGAGATAACAGAAATCTGCACATCGCCCCATAACTCTAAAGCCACATTGAAATGTATATAGTAAGTACGCACACCACACACCAGCACATCCACTCACTCACACACACACACACAAGTATACATACTTTATGTGTAACACAAAAGGCAACAACTTGTTAACTTTGCTTTTTATTTTAGGGACACTCTAAGTTGGGGCAGCTTGGCCTGCAAAATTTGGGTTTGGCTTTCCTTTGCTATACACTGTACCTGAGCGTAATCGGGGTATATTGCTTAGCTGTCAAGTGTATATGTATGCGTAACGTTACAGCCAGTGTGGCAGCTACTTTTTCACAAAGCTCAAGTGGACTTAGCTGCCAAGTGCGTACAACTTGGCGTATGAGTGATATATTGTGAAAGTTTATAGACTTGAAAACGTATACGTCACACGCTCAGATGGCTCAAAGACTGCTCTTCTCAGTCAGAATTGGGTATTCTACGGTCGCTGCAACTCTTTGGCCACTCGTTGGTAGCAGCTGCTGCGTCGCACAGACAAATGCGAGGGCTTTGACTTGGCTGTTGGTTGCTGCTCCCGTTGCTTCTGCTGCTGCTGTTGCTTGGCGCCTACTGAGCCGGGGGGCCATAAAATTGGCGTCGCCACCGCGTGATTAGGAGCCGCGACGCGTTTCATTTAGCTTGTCCTTAAGGCTCCCGCAAACAGTCAAATACACACACACACATACACACTCAGACACACACACACACACATAAACATGCTGAGTACTTACATATTGTATAAGTAACGTAAATTGTGGAGGCTCTGTGGCAAATTGAGAGGCATTCTTAAAGGCCAATCTCACGAGATGGCCATTTATGTATGTGATGCGATGCCCCTCGGAATTACTTATTGAAAGCGCTTGCTTCCAGTCCTGTCCCCACTACACATTTCCCTTCAATCATTTAATAAAAAAATCCAAACACTTTATCTTCGAAATTAGCAAATGGGCTTTCATAAGAAAATTTTACTAACTTTATGGCCAATTTTTAAAAATGTCTTTTATTTTAAATGTATATAACAGCAGAGACCAATATATATAAAAAGCAGAGACCACAACAACAGAGACAAGTCAAGCGTGATTATTTATTAAAAGTGAAAATAATTCATAGCCTGAACATAAATCTATTCCATGAATAAAGCTCAAGGCTAGACAAATATCATCCCATGAAAATTATGACCCTGCCAATGGCTGAAAGTAGTTTAAGGACTAGATTCTAAGTGCATGAAACAGTTGAAGTCTTAAATTCAAATGTGGAACTGTTTCAACCAATAAGTTTGCCAGTAAGCATAAGCTAGATAGAAATCATATCAAGTAAGGGTAGAGCCGACAAATCTTTTGTTTTAGAATCGTGTCATAAATAAGAGAAGTGTATGATTTTCCATAGAATCGATGGTCCCTTTGACATATGACAAGCATACATACATAGATACATATGGACACATACATATATGTAAATACTTCTTGATTTTGTAGACGTCGTCTTATGTGCAGTCAAATAATTCTTGATAAAATTATAATACCCCCAGCAAGGACACAGACACACAGAGGCCGGCAGACAGACAGACGTTTGCTGCCTTCATCGACAACAAAGTCTGCATATGTTCCAAGCATCACCGTCGTATGAAA